ATATATATATATATATATATATATATATATATATATATTTATTTATTTATGTATGTGTGTAAGATATTTTGGTTGGTAGACATATATTCATATGTTTCAAGTTAAGTCCATATAATTTCATTAACACTGGCAAATGGGTCGTAGGTTGATACTGTGGGAACACATATTTCGGCAACCAATAAGAAGATGACATGTGGAAAAAAAGGAATATTCCTTAGGTCAACTACTTGCCCTAATTAAATCCTATTTAATTAGGGAATTATCTTTTATTTAAGATAAGAATATCTCCCAATAGATCAAGGAATCAATTTCCAGCAAATCCCTTTAATTAATTCATGTCATCTTTTAGGGTAAGAATAATGCTAATTAAATACGAATATTCTTCAAACCCTTGCCAAGTAAGGAGACTATAAATACATGACTACACAACACACATGAGGTAATTCTGAAACCCTACACAAACTCCTCTCTTCTCTCTCTTACACGGCTTCGGCCACTACACACAGCTAAGGCCGCCCATCTCTCTTCATGAGAGAAAACTCCGACCTTTCTGTTAGCTCCGCATTTTTTTCAAGATCATTTAACTGATTTAGGCATCGAAAGGCCTTTGGCCAACACCCCCAGGTGTGGTCCGTTGACCTAAATTTGTTTTACAGGAACCAAGGAAGAAGAAAGAGAAGGAAGCTCAAAGGGTGGAAGAATCACACGCGAATATTCTCCTGTGAGAATTTTGCTCAAACAGTTTGGTGCTTTCATTGAGAGCATCAAGTTATACTCGACACATTGCTCCCGAATAAAAGAAATCCATTTTCGTCCATTCAATTAAAGCCTTCTAAATAACCATGGTTGGAAGCAAGTGCGCAAGAAGCAAGACCGATGCAATGACTTAATTTGTAACATGTCCGAGCCATCACGACAGTGAGCCGATGAGCCACCCGTCACGTTCCACTGTTGAGACCGCAGTTGCCACTGCGGTTCCAACGGCCACCGTAACTCCACCTCCTAGCCTCGTGGCCTAGAGCACTGTTCTAGCGCGCACTATTGCGCCTCATCGCCGTCGCTCAACCAGCTCCGCCTTGCTGCCGCATGTCCCCACAACTAAAATAGCCTTCCCACCTCACTACTCCGAGGTCGGAACCAACTTGCAGCCGCAAGGCCTATCCACTAGATCCAGCCACAATCCATATGGCCTCATGGCGTTGCAACCCCCATCGGCCATCCTGGCGCCGCCGCCGATTACGGCCCAATCTTGGAACAACTACATCCATTCCCTCCTTTGCCACTGCTCTCGACGAATACTACCGCTTACACCTTTAACGAAACCCTAGCTCATGTGCAATTAGGCTCCACACAATTCTCTCCTCCAGTTGAAGCAGTTAAGTGGACCTCAGTCTAAGAGTCAACTAGTTGACCCAGAGAGTAGACGACCAAAATCTCTTGGTTGGACAGCTCCTCAGGCACAATGACCTGGTTCGAGACCTTGGCCTTCGACCCCATAGTGAAGAGAGAATGATGGAAGAACGCACTGGCAGGCAGTTCGAGAGGTCTGAGGCAAGTCGAGTAGGAGCGAGCATGTAAGGAGAAGGACAAGAACGCACTACCCAGCACGCTGACATGTCACAAGCATCTGCGAGCTCTAGCCCAAGAAGATCAAATCTCTGATCAAGGCTAGGTCCCAAATCAATGTACACAAGAGGTTGGGCCCACGATCCAATGTTCATGCCAGTCTAGGCCAGCAGAGGAGCATTCATGTGATATTAGGCTTCCAATTAGATCAGCCTCATGATCCTCCTTATGAGGTACGTGAAGAAAGACACTCACCGATCTGGTCCAGAAGAGCCAATTCACAGCAACAAGTGACAGAAAATCCTTCGCAAGCTCAGTTTACTAATGCATTGCGTAGGCAGGATAACTGAGGAGATCAACCTCTCGAGAGTCAATGAGGAGATCAATCAGTGACACTCGCGTCATGGGAGACACTGAAGTGAGCCGCAAGCGTTGTGAGTAGAAGACGTCGAGAGGCTCGTGAATGACCAACTTCGAGACTTAAAGGTTAGAGGAGACTTAGAGGATGCCCTGCGTAATGAGGTTGACCAAGTAAACTCCTCTCCTTTCACCAATGAGATCGAGTAGGCAGCCCTTCCAGGGCGATTCATAATGCCCTAAACCCTAAAGCCATCTTTCACGCCATTCAAAGGGGATTCCGATCCGGAGAGCCATCTGAAGCATTTTAAGCGTGTCATGATTCTCTACAAGTCTGAAGATGTGCTGATATGCAAGTTGTTTGCAATGACCTGACGAGGGGCTGCTCAAGATTAGTTTCATACCCTACCGTTCGGGTCGATCAATAGCTTCAAGGGGTTGGCTTTTGTCTTCATAAAGGAGTACACTTCCTATCGGACGGTCAAGAAACAAGCTGACCACATGTTCAACCTCCGCAAGAAGAGCGATGAGTCTCTCAGATACTACATCAAAAGGTTCAAGGTAAAGGAAGCTACATCGTGAGGTGTGATGATCGAATCGCAACTTTCAAGAAGGGCTTGCCAACCGATCACAACTTATACCGAGAGCTAACTATCGCTCCTCAACAAACATTGGTAAAGGTCTTCAAGACCGCGGAGCACTACGAACTATGGGATGACGATCGAATCATCGCGAAAAAGACTTTCAAGCAAGTCAATCAACCCTCTAAGCAAGCAGGTAAGAGAAATGACAAGTTTAATAATAAGAATAATGGCAAGCACAAAGCACAACCCTAGGGGGGGTGCTTCGGCAGATGAGAGCGACACAAAGTTCACTATCCTGGTACATCAGGTCCTAGCACGGGTAAAAGATAAATCCTGCTAAGGAGGTCTCCACCTTTGAAAGGGGATCCCGATAAAAGGAATACCAACAAGTATTGTGCCTTCCATGGGACGCACGGGCATTATACAAATGATTGCTTTGTTGGGAAAAAGAACCTTGAGATGCTAGTCAGAGAAGGCTATTGCATGGAGTTCGTAGGAAAGCAAGTTATCCAGCAGATCGAGGACCGCGATGTTGGCAAGGAACCTCCCTGGAAAGACATAAGGATTAACACAATCTTGGCAGACTCCAGGGAATTTGGGCTGACCAGCAAGGAAAAGAAGAGGAAGATTAAGCAAGCAACGATGATCTCCCAAGTCTTCACCTGCTGCCCAGCAATAGAGGATAATCCCGTGATAAGCTTACAAAAGAAAGACCTGATCGGGCTTGATCTACCACACAATGACGCCCTCGTCATCAGCATCCAGATTGTGCAGGCCGTGATCGAACGACTTTATGTGGATGAGGGAAACGCAACCAACATCTTGCAACTTTCAGTTGTCCAGTAGATGTGCATGGAGACCAAGATCAACAAGTCAGCCAAGTCATTGACCGGCTTCATCACTTCCGCCACCCAAACCTTGGGGGCTATGTCGGGCAGATGAGTAGCAACCAGGGATGGCGAGAAGATGCTCAGCCCAATGGCTGAAGAAAGGCAGACATACCCAGTTCATCCTGGTAAATCAAGTAAATCATAAGGGAGCAGAACAAGCAAGGGAGGAAGCAGATCTCGTTCTTGATAGTAGAGCAGATAAGAAGGGAAAGGGAATAGTCATTCCCCAATATCAATCAAAGAGCTGGGACCAAGACGAGGGAATCTGTCCGGAGGACTGTCGTGAAGAAAGATGGAGGCCCGAAGAGGACGTTGAGCTAGTACCCCTTGATCCTAACGAGCCAAAGAAAAAAGTGCTGATTGGCTCATGCCTAAGCCCAGAAGAAAAGGTAGAGCTGACCATCTTCCTCCAGAACAATAAAGCTGTGTTTGCATGGTCACCGTCCATCATGCCTGGCATTAACCCATAAATCATCTGTTACAGGCTATATGTCAACCCAGCCAGCAAGCCAAAGGTACAAAAGAGACTCAACTTTACCCCTTGTGCGAGTTGCAATCTTTTAAGTTGAGATTGACAAGCTCCTAGTTGCCGGCTTCATTGAAAAAGTCTCCAATGTAGAGTGGCTATCCAATGTTGTTCTGGTAGCAAAGAAAGACCAAGGAAACTAGAGAGTTTGCGTCGACTACACCGATCTCAACAAGGCATGCCCATCGCCAAGAATTGATCAACTCGTAGATTCAACTTTGGTAACCAATTGCTTAGCTTCATGGACGCTTACTCCGGCTACAATCAGATCATAAAGCATGAACACGACAAAGCGAAAACTTCTTTCATAATCGAAAAAGGCACATGTTGCTACAAAGTTATGACCTTTAGGCTGAAGAACGCTAGAACAACTTACCAGAAGCTCATGAACAAGATTTTCAAGGAGCATAGCATCGTGCTCGGGATAACATAGGGAGTATTTTGGAACTCAATGAACCTCCAAAAAGTGGCTCATGAGCCGCCACCCGCCACCAGCAGTTGTGGGTGGATTGAGTAAATTCTGGCAATCGAAAAAACACCAAAATCTTTGGCCAATACCTATACCATTAGAACCACCACAACTAAGGGAACATGTTTTGTTCTTGGACCCCAGCCAAAAAGTGGCCAGAGGTAGCCGGATAAATCGAACTCTAAACACTCCAAATTGATCAAACCAACCATACCATCAGCTAGAGAACGTTGAGTAGATGAAGAATCATACCTACATCGACGGATTTGGCCATCGGAGTCGCCGGAAACTTTTGAAACAACTGGAGCTTTAAAAGCTCCCAGAGCCTCCGTGAGTGGTTGTCGTGGCTGATAATTACCCAGATGAGTTCGCCTGCCCTGGCCGGTCATTTTTAGACTAGTCCCTTCATTAGCGGTGGCCGGACGGCGCTGATTCCTCGTCGGGAAGTCAAACACACACTGTTTCAGTAATTCCGAATACCTCTTTTCTATTTTCAAACCTTTTCTCATTCGTTACAACTCGGAATTAAGCGTGCCGCTAGTCCACGGACTCATATCAACGAGCCCTACATAATGGTGCTACTCATTTTCCCAAATTCCTATCGGAACAAAAAAGGACTAAACTACCCTCACACCCCAAGGGAAAAAATGTAATTTCATAATAAAATGATTAAACAAACCCTTAAATTGGGTCGGGATGTTACATGACTCTTCCAGAAGGAACTTCTTTGGTAGCTCCCCGATCTCAAAGAAGTTCATATGCGAACCAACGATCATATGGTTGGCAAACTGGACGGATGTTGGAGGACAGGCATAGGTGACAGGGTCGGCAAGCCGTTATGGCCCCCAGCAGGGCAACCTAGAAATTCAGGTTATACTGCCCAAGAGCTTATCCAAGATGGGCCATGATCCTCTGTACGGGGGGTTGCAATGACAACCGAAGCCCAAGCTTGAGGATGCCCGTAAAGAAGGCCACTTCACCATTTTTAGGGTTACTAAGGGATTCGATGGGCCAGGGAATCCTCCACTTCACCGAATATGGGATCCGATATTCGACAAGGTACTTAGCCAACTCTACCTCGGTAACCTTATTCGGTTCTAGATAATCGACCTCGAACAGAAGCTCTTTGTGTTCACCCATCGGCACCCTAGGATTCCCTCGCTGAACCACGGTGACCACCGGCCGTGAAGATGATTCAGCAACAGCATCCCCTCAACCAGATGTAGAGGCCTCCAAATTATAGCTCGAGTGCCATTCTGGCACTCACATATCCCTCGTCAATAATTCGCAATATTGACTTATGCTGGCACAGTCAACACCGCACGAAACTATAGCTAACGGCATCGCCCCATCCGTTGGGCGAACAATGCCCCTACCGACAGTGGGCGTGTTAAGCTCATAATTTCATACATATACATGCCCTATTTACTTACTTCTTTTGCTTAGTTTCTTAGATTTCTAAGTTATTTGCCTCCCTTTGTGTGTTTTGTAGGCAAATAGAGCAAGAGAGCATAATTCATGCAATTCAAGCATGTCAAGGCCTAATTTGGATGAATGGATGAAGAGCTTAAAAGACAAACTCATTTTGGCTACAGCCCCCTGCCAGTCCAGTTCCGTAGGTCAT